CGAGTGCTGTGATGTGCCGAGTGAGGGCACTCAGGGCAATCCAAGCCAGGACTGCTTTGCAAGCGGGGCACCCCTGAGAACTGTCTGTCTGGGGTGGGGGTCGGGTCCCTTTAAGCACAGCCCTCGGCTAGCCCTCGGCAGCAGCTCCATGCTCTAAGTCCTCCTCTGATGCCCTGCCGGCACTGCTTCCGGCCAGCCTTAAGCCTGGTTCAGGGTCAACTTAATGTGGACATGCTAGTTCGAATTAGCAAAACGCTAATTCGAACTAGTTTTTTAGTCTGGATCCATTAGTTTGAATTAGCTTAGTTCGAATTAACTAATTCTAACTAAGTTAGTTCGAATTAGCGCTGTAGTGTAGACGTACCCCTAGAGAGGGAAACAATCTCCCAGGAGAGACAGAGAAGGGACGGATGTCTAGAGCCTGCCCTGCTTCGGATTCCAGACTAAAAGAACCCTGGTGTACCCTTTTTCCAGCTTCCCCTGTATGATCTTGGTATTGATGTCAGCATTTCTTTTGCTGCATCACCTTAGAGCAGGCCTTATTCAGACCATCAAGCAAAACACCTTTCCTCGTCTTCTCTCCACTGGGATCTGGCATCAGACCCTCCTGCTTAGCCAGTGCATTTCAGCTGAAGGAGATGCCCTCAGTCAGAACAGGGTAAGTACATTTCTGATGCCCTTTATTTACTCAGTAAGAGTAAGAACATTTCGTTACCTGGCATTCATGTGTTTTGCAACCTCACAGCAGATCACTTGGGGAACATCACATTCACATCGTTTCTAATCCAGAACTGACCAGTTGGGGGAACACACTGATGTAACCAGTTGACAACTGGAGAGGGGGGCTGGGGAAATCCCTGTTGTGCACTACACACAAATTGGAGTAGACAATCTGTGCCCTGCAAAGTTTACAGTCTAAACCTGTGGTATCCAATCAATTTTGAATCTGTGACCACTGTCTACACTGCAAACCGTTATTTTGACATAATGCTGAGCTGGAAGACTTTGTACTCGCACTCCTTTAACCCTCACTTCACGAGGAGTAAGGGAAGTGGACGTAAGAACACTCCCTGCTACATTTTCCTGTGATTTCCTAAGCAGGGACAAGGGCCTCTTTTTGGAACACAAACAGTGCCTCTCAGCAGACACTGCACATCGCGGACAAAGGGCTGAAGTAGAAGAAGCATTTGAAGGAGCTCAACTGATGGGCAGGGAGGCCAAACTCTTCTACTGCTTTCATTTACAAAGGTAATTTTAGAAACATGCAGGATCTCCATGGGGTTTAGAGAGCACGGCACCTGCAAACTTGTCCTGGGGCAGGGGAAGCGCTGGGTGCTCCAGGAAGAGGAGAGCAGAGAGAAGGAGAGCAACATGGTGCAGTGCATGTCGGTAGCTCCCAACAAACAAGAAGCCCTCATGCAGTGACTAAGGTTGCCAGTTCTCCCAGACCAGATGGACTGGACCACATCACCACAAATAGCATCCTGTCTGGGAGAGCTGGCAACCTTAATAGTGACGGCATTTGAAAAATTGCCTAGAGCCCAGGAAGGACAAAGGAGCCCACTAAGAACATCCCAGAACAGGATCCAGGAGGGGCATGGTGCCATGGAGGAGTCCCCCAAGAAGAACAAACCAGAGCTAGTCCCACTATCCCTGTCCCCCAGAGCTGCATGAGGCTGGGAGTACTGGGACCTTGCAGTAGGAATTAGAGAGAGGCTGTTAGCTAGCTATGTGGGGAAGTTGTTGCTCCATAGGGCTTGTGTGTGTTTTATCTCTCTTCTAACTTTTCCCCTTTTGTTTCTCTACCTTCATTCCTCTGTAGATAAGCATTTCTGCATCCTCGCTTGTCGTACTATTCTGATGTGTGTATTGACACTGGAGGATTTAGAGCAGGCATGGGCATCCCTAATGTAGATGCACAATCTCAATTTAGAGCCCCAGGAGGCACTGGGGAGGAATAACTTAGAATGGCCCAGGGGAGGGGCTATTTCAAAATAACAGCAGTGGAGCCTCTACAAAGCCCCTATTCCCAAATAAGTATTTTGGAATAGGCTTTATTCTTCATACAGTGAGGTTTACAGAAGTCAGAATAAGCCATCCGTTATTCTGAAATTATTTCTGAATAATGCTATTGCTGTGTAGATGCTCGCATAGTTATTTTGGAATAACGACCATTATTCTGAAATAACTTTGCTGTGTAGATACACCCTGAATGTGATATATCTTGACTTTGGCAAAGCTTTTGATATGGTTTCCCACAATATTTGTGCCAGCAAGTTAAGGAAGTATGGATTGAATAAACGGACTGTAGGGTAGACAGAAAGCTGGCTAGACTGTCAGGCCCAATGGGGAGTGATCAATAGCCTGATGTCACATTGGTGGCTGGTTTCAAGCAGAGTGCCCCAAGGATCAGTTCTGGGGCTGGTTTTGTTCAACATCTTTATTAATGACCTGAATGAGGGGATGGATTGCACCCTCAGCAAGTCTGCAGAAGACACTAAGCTGGGGGAGAAGTAGATAGGCTGGAGGGCAAAGATAGGGTCCAGAGTAACTTAGACAAATTAGAGGATTGGGCCACAAGAAATCTGACGAGGTTCAACAAGGACAAGTGCAGAGTTCTGCACTTGGGATGGAAGAATCCCAAATATTGTTACAGGCTAGGAACCAACTGGCTAAGTAGCAGTTCTGCAGAAAAGAACCTGGGGATTACAGTGGACAAGAAGCTAGTTTGAGTCAACAGTGTGCCCTTGTAGCCAATAAGGCTAATGGCATACTGGGGTGTGTGATGGGGCAGTCAAGCTCTGCACTTTCGCTGCACAGGATGAGTCCGGCACAGCAGATGCTGGTGGATGGCCCGAACATGGGGGCAGCCAGTACATCAGAAGCGGTCACGTTGGCCAGACCTGAATGTGTCAGGGCATAGCCTGCAATTGGGAGGCATGCTCCCAGATACTGGCATGCGATGAAAGGGGAGGCGCACCCCTTTCAAAAGGGGAAGAAACTTCCAGGAGGGGGGAGGAAGGAGGTAAGGAGGCGGGAGCATGAGCAGAGCCCCAGGAGGCAAGGCTGCAGAAGAGGACCCAGATGAGCCATCCAGCGGTGCCCCACTGCAGAGGAATAGGGAGGAGGAAGTGGCCCAGGGCGGAACTAATTGGAAAGCCCATGGGCTGGCACATTGCAGGCAGAGGCCTCGTCAGCCAAGAAAGGAGGTGAAGGTAACTCTGTCTTTAGGGACCAGGGCTGATACTCAGAGTGAGGGCAGTCACTTCAGGCCACCAAGGTGGCAGGCTAAGAAGGAAAGTGTTGGTGGGTATGGGGAGGGGTCACAGACCATGCTAGAGACATAATATGGAGAGGAGCAGTCCCCAAAAGACTTCTTTAGAGTGGGTATCAGGGTGGAGGTTTAGCTTGATGCCCTCATGGGACGGGACCCCCAACCGGGCCATTGGTTGCCCCAATGAGAGGTGGGAACCCTGTGATTGGGCTAGAGCAATACAGGAGCTGGTCCCTGAGGATGGGAGGTGCCCCATAGTGGGGTGGCCTGAAGGGCGGCTGCCTGACAGGATGCATTAGGAGGAGCATTGCCAGCAGATCCAGAGAAGTGATTATTCCCCTTTATTCGGCGTGTCCAGTTCTGGGCCTCCCGCTACAGAAAGGATGTGGACACATTGGAGAGGGTCCAGCGGAGGGCAACCAGAATGCTGAGGGGGCTGTAGCACATGACTTATGAGGAGAGGCTGAGGGATTTGGGCTTGTTTAGTCTGCAGAAGAGAAGAGTGGGGAGGAGGGGGATTTGAGAGCAGGCTGCAACTCTCTGAAGGGGGGTTCCAAAGAGCAGTGGTCTCAGGCTGTTGTCAGTGGGGGCAGATGGCAGAATGAGGAGCAACAGTCTCAAGCGGGGAAGGGCTAGGTGGAAGATTAGGAAAAACTATTTCCCTAGGAGGGTGGGGAAGCACTGGGCTGGGTTCCCTGGGGAGGTGATGGAATCTCCATCCCTAGAGGTTTTTAAGTCGCGGTTTGACAAAGCCCTGGCTGGGATGATTGAGTTGGGGTCGGTCCTTCCTTGGGCAGGGAGCTGGAGTTGATGACCTCCTGAACTTTCTTCCAGCCTTGGGATTCTATGATACACAGGCTCTTAGACCAGGCTCAGGGCTACAGGACTTTGTATCAACCACTGTTACTTTGCAGGTGCCAGACACAAGCCGAGATCAATCCCTGCAGGTGACATCAGTGTGGGGAGGCTCAGCCATTGTCCTCAGGTGTGTCCAAAAAACTTGTAATAACAACCACATGCTGATATCACCTGGCTTTTCAGGACTGTTTATATATCTCATTAATTCCTTGCTCTAATGACCTGAAATGTAGCCCACCAAACTCCAATGTGTCACAGCAATTTTCAAGACAATCTGAGTATGTTTTTGGATTGTAGAGCCCAAAGAAAAACCTGTTGATCAATAAACCAGAGTAAACCCGAACCAGAGCAGAACTACTGCCTCACTATAATGAGACAAGTCAGCCTTCATCTCACAATGATCCTTCAGACTCCACTTATTACCCTGTTGAAGATGTCAGAATATCAGAACAAGTTACTGACCTGCCACTTGTAGTTCCAATAAAGCTTCTTCAGAAGAGACTCTGGACTGAACAAGACACGTGTACTGACCATGGTCAGAGGGTCGGACATCATATATTCTTAGGGAAATTCTCCCACTGCTGATATCGTCTTTCAAGAGCTCCGTTCTCCCTCGATATTCCGGCATTTGCTGCACATACTGATCCTGCCTGTTGCGGTACAGGTGCACGACTGCAGAGTACTGGGACCGGAACCATCTCACCTCCATGTTCTCAGCGCTTATGCTAGGGGAGAGGTGGCAGGGCAGGACGGCCTCCCCATCCAGGGAGGCAGTAACTGGGCTGTCAGGACCCCTCACTGTGAACTGTTCTGTGAAATGAGCCAGGGGAAAAAGAAAATTGAATTGGAAAGGAACCAAGAGAGACAGGAGTGTAAGTGTACAATTGGGGCTATTCTCTGCCTTCTGATTTCAGAATCTTTAAAAATTACTTGGAAATGTGACCCAAGCACTTATCTATAACCAGGAGGGACAGAAGCTTGCTTTAAAAGAAAACCGAAGCCGAGATTCTCACCTAATCACGGTGTGATGGATCCCCTTCCCATGCCTTATGAAATGGAGCTATGGACACAAATATGCATAACTCAAAGATGGTAGGTACAAATTCCCTCATGCAACCTATCAATCTTCATGTCTGGGGCTGTGTGTCTTATATTGGTGAACGTATCATTCTTGGGTGTAAAGTTAGGCTAATGAAGCGGGGATTTAAATATACCATGCTTCATTAGCATAATCTCACCAGCAAGCTATTCTGCTTGCCAGTTGATTCGAACCAGAAAATGCACTCCGGGACGCTTTAGTTCGAATCAGATCCCTTGGTTTGAACTAATGTTACTCCTCAAAAAATGAGGAATAGTGTGCGGGCAAGATTATGCTAATGAAATGCGGGATATTTAAATCCCTGCTCCATTAGCAATTTTGGTCGTCTACATTTGCATCCCTAGCACAAACTTGGGAGCAAGCGTAGACGTACCCCCACAAACTAACAAATATATAGAAGCATGAGCTTTCATGGATAAAAGCCATCTGGGGATGAGACATTCATGCTCCTATATATTTTGCACATCGCAGCTCATGATTCTGTATATTTATTTGTTCGTTTCTAAGGTGCCACGGGACTATTCACTGTGCACACCCAAGTACGAATGATCAGTGGACCAGGTCCTCTGTTCACAGCAAGTATTTTGATCATCTCAGTACGGGAATACATCTTGGAAACAGACCGAATCCCCGAGGGGCACAAGGAGATTTCTGCTACCATTCGTGTAACCAGGAAAAAGGCCGGGTTTGAGTTGGGCGGAGCCACAAGCCTCCTCCGAACAAGCCAAGAAAGCGATCTGTGTAGCCAGCCCCCTAGGAGCTATACACGAAGGACTGCACTTTGATTGGATGTTTCTGTGGCTGAGGCTGGGGCTCTGTGGAGCCTCTGGCAACAGCGGGAGGGGAAATTGTGTCCATGCAGTTTTTGGTCCTGCAAACTGACAGAGGCCACCCAGCAATACATTCCTTTTGAAAAAGGAAAAGTTATATCAGGTTGATTTACAGCCACCACGGTAATTACTGTGATTTTCATGTGCACGCTGACCTCTTGCCACTGGTGCGCATCCTCACCAGGAGCGCTCACCCTGACTAGAGAGGAGCAGTGTGGGGCTGAGAGCCCAGCCTGGGGGCCTGCTTATACCCATGAGCTCAGCTCCAGCTGCCACCCAGGTTCTCACTTTCCTGCTCCCCGCAGAGCTGACCATCTGGAGTCCAGCTACCACCCAAGCTCTCAGCTCCCTGCTCCCCAAGAAGCCAGGCAGCTGGAGTTCAGGCCTGGGCACCTACTGGTCAGCCATGCCAGGAGCAGAGAGCCCATGCAACATTTACTAACTCCTGAAATCCATTGGGACTTAGGTAGGAACAATTGAATATGTGGGTTGGGGGGAGAAGAGGGGATGATGAACAAAACAGAATGGAGAGTGGGCAGGGTTCTGTGTCCATACCATTGTCCCCACCCCATTTTAGACCCCCACAACAGAAAGGATGTGTACACATTGGAGAGGGTCCAGCAGAGAGCGACCAAAATGATTAGGGGGCTGCAGCACATGACCTATAAGGAGAGACTGAAGGATTTGGGCTTGTTGAGTCTGCAGAAGAGAAGAGTGAGGGGGGATTTGGCAGCGGTGTTCAACTCCCTGAAGGGGGGTTCCAGAGAGGATGGAGTACTAGTTATTTCAAAATAGTGTTGTA